AAGTTAACTGTTATATAATTATTGGATTATATAACAGTTAACTTAGTTTCCATTATAAAATTATTATATAAGTTAACTGTTATATAATTATTAATACTGTTAAGTGAATCTAGCGCCAAAGTGTCGCTACGGTAAACAAATGCTAGAGTGAATTTTAAAGAATGAATTTATTCTATTGTGGTTTATGCGCTGTCGGCGAAGTTTAATTCAATCCAATAAGTTTAAATGAAATGCAAGAAAAAATGTGTATAATTTAATATTCCAATACAAGGAAGTCATGTGGTGTACACATCAGATTTTTTTTTAGCAGTGTACATTATGATAGATGTATTTCTGTGGTTTTTAAGGCTAATAAACCCTCAATACTTATATGTTAGATAAATGCACAAAATGATTTTGTGTTGCTTATGGATGAGGAATCTATTAATTAAATCCTTAAATATAATCATCTAAACCAAGAAGCAAGTGTATAATAATTCAGGACCTTTGAAACTCTGAGTCCATTGTTCAGATTTTGAAAATTGTGAATGTAATTATGGGTCGTGTATTTGAACAATTAGATTCTTTGGGAGAAAAGCAGTTTTTAGTTTCTTGGCAGACATTACTGAATGTTTGTTGTAAAAGATTGCAGTTAGCTTGGGTTTTATGGTTAATAAATAAATTTTATTCACTTTAGTGATCAAATATGGACCACTTTCTTTTTAGATGGGGTGCTTTCTTTAATGATGCTGATTATACATAGAATGCTATGGTGCTATTTGACATCTTAAACTGCTTTTTGTATTGTTTATGTTCTTGGTAGAGGTTTTAAGTTGGCAACTTTTGATCTCTCACTGTTAACTGATGGACATAAGCCCAGAAATAATTCGAAATAAAAATGTTCACTACAGCTTTAATAATTGGAAGTAAATTAAGAGAGAATTCCAACTATGTCTGAAGATCGGTTTGCGTAAATTGAGACAAAAGTTGGAAAATGGATTCCGAATTTTGATTGTGATATTGCATTATTGCAAACATATAAAATGGAATTTTAGGGAATTAAAAGTTAAAAACTTTGGATATACTTATGGATCTAAATGTATGGTTGATAAAAAAATAATTTGAGAACAAAATTAAAAATAAAGCACAAGCTATTTTTGTGAAAACGATTTTAATGCATGAAAAAAGTAGACCTGACTGTAAAGAAAGGGAACATATTTTTGTAATTTGGTTTTAAAATGCTAATCTAACAATCCTTAAGCTTAGGCATGCACTATATCAAAGTAGAAATTATTCACACATTCATATGAAGAACTGATTTACTTTATTGAGTGAGTGAATGTGATTTACCAAAATGGAGCAGTACCTCTTTTAGTGATCTGAGAGCTCATGTTGAAAGTGTGCCAGAAAAGTTCAGTTTTCATTATAAGAAAAAAAAGGAGTGTTTTTTATAATTTGTTTTTTAAATTCTAGCCTGTCAATCCTTAAGCTTAGGCATGCGCTATTTCAAAGTAGAAATGGTTTATTCATTTATAAACTGATACAAATAACTGATTTACTTTATTGAGTGAGTGTGATTTGCCAAAATTGAGCAGTACTTCATTTAGTGATCTGAGAGCTCTTGTTGGAAGTGTGTCAGGACAGTCTTCATTTTAAGCTAAAAAAGGAATGTTTCTGTAATTTGTTCTTAAAATGCTAGTCTGCCAATCCTCAAGCTTAGTCATGAACTATTTCAAAGCAGGAATGGGCTCTTTATTCACAAACTGATACAAATAACCGATTTACTTTATTGAGTGGGTGAATGTGATTTGTCAAAATGGAGCAGAACCTCTTTTAGTGATCTGAGAGCTCTTGTTGGAAGTGTGCCAGGAAAGTTCAGTTTTCATTTTAGGGAAAAAAGAAATGTTCCTTCTCCCATGTTTAAAGTGAGTTTTATGTACATCATTTTCCGACTTTTTTTTTTTTTTTTTTTTTTTAATCCAGAAAATTATTTAAAAAAGTGTCAGAACTAAAGTTGAAAGAAATCGGTAAATTAATGGTTGTATTAGATTGATTCTTCCACTTCCACTGCTCATTTGATTTTTTGTGGGGGCTCTCCACTCGATCCTAGCACACATTGCTCTTGATTCACACCCTGTTCCCAATCTCATTCATCAAGGTTATTGTTAGTGAGCAGTGGTTCTTAATGTGAGTGAATGACTATGATCTGATCCTATAAAAGTATCACACCTCTATTTCAAAGCTTTTCTCTTATTTAATAACAAAGAAATTGGAAAGTATTAATGTGTCATCTGTGCTATTGCTGTACAAATAGAGTTGGACAGTCTGCTTCAGAATTGATTTAAAGAAAAGATTCACTTTATTGAGTGAATGAACAGTTGGTTCCAGAAAACAGAGTATTGTCTGTTTTACAGTTCACAGAAAGCTCTAGTTGGAAGCATGCCAGGAATGTTTATTCTCTTATGTTAAAGTGAATTAAATTTTTTATAATTTCCAATACTTTTTAGTTTAGAATTTTAGTGTTAGTTTTATTTAAAGGGAAGTTTTTATGAATCTTGAAGTTGTTGTGAAATACAATTGAAAGAAATCAGGTGTGTATGTTGAATTAGATCAATTCTTCTGATCTTATTGTCGATTTGATTCTTTCCTCTGTTCACTCCAGCCTTGCTAACCACTCTTGATTCTTTTCTCGCTCCTGATGTTTTTATTAGTTATTGTTAGTGAGTGGTGAATCTTAAAAAAATTAATTCAGTTCAGTGAGCCAACATAACTGATCTGATTCCATAAAGAAGCAGTTGTGTCTATCTCTATCTACAAGGAAACTGGGTAAGTGAAAAGGGAAAAAGTACCATTTCTCGTATGATAATGCAGTGAAGCTAAAATATCTGCTTGTTTTTGTGTGTTTGCAGAATTTCTAAGTGAAATTGCAAGAAGCCAAAGAAGGTACTTAATTCTCAAGGTAAAAAAAAAAAAAATAAGAAATTTTTAAAAATTGTATAAATAAATGGAATAAAATTTATATGTGAAGAACCTTCAACAAGGAATCTGAATATTTTCTCTGTTTTACATACATGAAGTCCCCAGATTTCATTTCATAGTAATAACAACAAATGGGATGCTCATAATTGATCTATGTAAACAGAATATTAAGAAAACTAACAAAACAAAAAGTTTAGTTTTTAAGGAGGCAGAAAATAATCTACTTAAATACTTAAAGGTGCCATCAAATTATACAGGGTGACCCAGAAGTCCATTAACATTTTAAAATTCAATAATTCACAAAATAATGTAGGTAGAGAGGTAAAAGTTGATGTAGAGTTTTATGAAAAGGGGGGGAAATGCAAAAAGAAGGCTTTATTGAGTGCCATATGGCATATGGCATAACATATGGCATTGCACAGCAAAATGTCAATGACACCACATCAGAATAATGTATGAAGTGAGCTGTAGTGAGAAAGGGAATTCCTTTGACTTTGTCGCTTTCCTATCCTTGCCTGTAGGTGTTGATAAAGATGTGATGGGGATTTATTGCATGAATCATGATCGGACCCTTTTTCTTCAAGGAAATGCAAGGTTCTACTATTAAAACTGTCAGTGTGATGGGTGCGAGGTGCACTGATACAGAATCGCATCAGTGCACCTCGCACCTAGTCTGATTGATACCTGTTCTATGATATGACTTTTATGGATGGCGCTCCACCTATAACTCGCGTGCTGGATTGTCACATCTGTCATGCTTGGCCTCTCAGGTCCCCAGATCTCAATCCATGTGATTGTTGATCGAGGGGTTACTTGAAATTGCAAGTCTATCACAATGTTCGACCTCATTAGGGATGCTAAAAGACAACCTCTGACAGCAATTTGACACCATACCTACACATATGCTGTACAGTGCTTTTCACAGCATTCCCTCGACTACAAGTATTGTTGATGAATGATTGCCGACATGTTGAACATTTATTTTAAAGAACATAGTCTTTTCTAAAAATCAATGACTATGCTAATTATTGCTTTTGTTACTATAATAAAGTGCCATCTGTTGGTCATTTTAAGCTCTTTTTTTGGAGGGGGGAGGGGCTTTTGGTGAAACCCCATTATATGTCAAGTATGTGTCAGTTTTTACCTCTATACCTATATTATTCAGTGAATTATTGAATTTTCAAATGTTAACAGACTTTTTACATCACCCTGTACTTCAAATTTTGTATTTTATTGACAACAATTTTATGTTATTACTCTTTAAGTACATTTTTTCCTAAATAAATTTCCCAATAGGAAAAATTAGAGTATTTTATATATTTTTGCAGTTAAAATATAGTAAGAAATTAAGAAGCTTTTTTCACAATACATTTAATGCTATTCAGGGCTGGCGCTAGGCACTTTACCACCCATGCAAACTCTGCGAGTATGCAATCCCACTGCCCAGTACCTCCATAAATTTTAAAATCTTTGTCACATAGTGCCTCTCCTAAAATTCTATAATTTTTGCTGCTCTGTGCTTTTGTAAACTCTAAAAATTTTGCCGCCCATTACAGCCATGTGATTGTGCTGAATCTACTGCTAGAATTTATTCAAATATTCATAACAATGAAAATTGCACATATAGTATTTTTCAGTGATATGGTAACTGTGTATGGCTTCTGCATCATTGGCTAAGAAACTGTTGATTTATGGTAAAACTTTCTAAACAACAGCTTTAAAGGTGTGCTTCTGCTCATTTAGGCTTTATTTTGATTGTATGGAGGACATCCCTATGCATTTTAACCTCTTTGTTAAGAGAGTTTTTACTCACCTGGAAATTCAGGGAAAATCAGGTAAATGAGAAATACCCATGGAAACTACAAACTTTTTTCCAATAAATCCTTTCAGATAGTACACAACATGCAGAAATTATCCCTTTTAGAAAGAAATTTAAGCCCAAGAAATGTCACTCATGTCGAGTAGAACTATAATGTCATAAAACAAAGTATTGATATATATAAAAGAGTTTCATCCCAGAGTTATTCTTAATTTTTGTGTAGCACTGAGAAAGTGTTGAAAGGTAATCAAGATGCACCCAAAAGGCTTTCCAGACGGTTCAGCAGTTCTAATCTCTCACAAACGAATACTCCACCCAGTCAAAGTGCCTGTTTATCTCCCTCGCCTTCTGTCAGTTCTCTTGGCAGCTTTTCTTCAGAACATTCCGAACAGTGCTCGGGTAAAGGTAAGTTTCCGCATTTTGATTTCTCTGATCTGGTAATTAACACATTGTCCCTAAATTACTATAAGATGATTAAAGCAATTCATGACTTATTCATGAATTCAAAAAGCTGATTTAAATATATGCAAGGGAAAAAATTTGTGAATAAAAATTCTAACTTTAATTTGCAACAGCCTTTTAATTTTAACTGTTTCCCTTCTGTGTATTTGAAATAGTAAGTGCTGATAATAAATCCCTCTAAACTGGGTCATTTAAAACTAATCCGTCTCACACAATTGTTAGGTAACATTAGCGATGCAGGCACTTACTTAAAGGCTTCAGCTAATAATAATTTAAATTTGGGAGTCTGAAACTGAGAATTAGCCAATGGAAATTAAATGTGAAACCAAATCATTCTAAGCCAAGCTTTCATGTTATGCATATGGCGTTCCTATTGTTTGCTATCCTGCTGCCACTTACTTTTCTTTCATCAATTGTTTTATCATCATAGTGTAAAATGGATGCACAAATGCAATATAAAAATGTAGTAAATTAGAAGTAGATGCCACAGCAAATCCGAGAATACAATTTACAGCGTTATGGAGGTTGATGCATTAAAGATGGCAGTCATCGAGACTGATAAACGTATTTCTTGACAAGCAGTATGAGTGCAATCTGTGCACCTGGTTTTCATTATATTTTTGCTTTTTTACATTGTTATGACAATACCATTGATTTCAAATAGGTAAGTGGGAACATGTTGGCAGGATATCAAGCAAAAGCAGGAATGCATCATATGTAAAGTGAAAGTTTGGTTCAAAATGATTTGATTTTAATTTACATTTAATCTCTATTGGCTAATAATAAATTCTAGCTCCCAAATTTAAGTCATCATTGTCAGAAGCCCTTGTGTAAGTGCCAGCATAATTACTGTTATGCAAGAATCATATGACGTAGATTAATTTTGAAATGATATAATTTACTGTTTTTTGGACAGAAAGGGGAAATAGCTTAAGCAGTTACTTTTCCGGCTTTTATCTCGGCTAAAATGTCCATCAAAGTCTTAATTTCCTCTGCAGGCGAGTCACTAGCATTCACTCACAAACCCCACTTCTGACACCAGTTGTTGCGTTATTTTCTGCCTTCATGTTTGCACAGGGTTCGTAGATTTGGCAATGAATAATGACGACACTTGATGAAGTATCGAAACACACTTTATTTACCAATATTAATCAGAACAGCTCCAAAATCACTTTTTACAGTCGTCGAACTGTTATAAACACGCTGACACATTCAGCGACACAGCCTTCACACTGTCAGGCAATAACCGTGGAGACAGCTTCACTGCAAAGCACCTGAGTACCCAACTCTACTTGGTCGTTCTCGGAACTCCAGTAGTCTTCCGACTCTCCACGAGATGCACTCGACGATACACAAGAGAATAGCTCTCGATTCAGCACAGTCTAAGACAAAACTCGACAATGCACTAAAAGAATATCTTGATGCACTCGGCGGTAGACTTCGAGACACTCGCTTAATGACCGACTATCAGCTCGCTAGACGAGGCACACACTCTCGCCCTCTCGATGAAGCACACTGACTGACTGTGAACCAGCAGGGTTTATATAGCTTTTGGCTTGTGTTCAAGAACATTCTGGGCTAAACCGGTAAGAATTCGTTTCAAAAGGTTCTCCATCCGTCTTTGGCATATTGCCAGTTTTGTCACCAAATGGGGCAACCCTGCCTTCCTCGTTATTTTATGGCAACCCTAAAACTGCTTTGAGGGGGAGCTGTCTCACTGCACCTGTACATTTCATAGCAATATGTATTCTGATACTCATTCCTTCATTTGGCTAATCCCCACATTGTCCCATCATTTGTGTGTGGATGCCAATCATGGGATCAAAGTTCATGTTAAATTAAATTTTACAAAAAGGAAAGAGATAGAGCATTAAAAGAAAAATACGTAAAACGAATTTTAGATGTATTTGAGATACTTTATTAATTATTTCTAATTTTCCAACATAATCACCATGATACTTTTCTTCAGATAATAGATTTTTTAATCCGAGGTTAATGGAACTTTAGGAGTGTAAAGTGTATCCACCAAAATTTGATTGGAGGTTTTGTGGCTGTGCCATGAAATCAGAAGCCCAAGTATTGCGTAATTAATCAACGACTGTTGATCGAAGTTGTCAGCATCCACTGACATATGCAATTTCTACTTATTTATTTGATTTCAAAACAAGAACAAAATTCATTTACCTTTTCTGATGTGTCCTTGAATGTATCCATGATGTCTCAGCAGGAAAGAAGAATCTTCTTCACAGAAAACACAAATTTCTTGACATCGCATTATATTCACATAAAACATTCAAAAGGGAAAAAAAAATTTTAAATATTATTTCTTATGTAGCCTCTCTTTTTCACTCGTGGCTGTAAGAATCAATTATTCCATCCTGACTTGGATTCGGAACTAAACTGTCTATTATAATTTAAAAAAAAAAAAAAAAAAGTTAAAATTTTCTCATTGGTGGAGCCTGTGACACCATCTAGTGAGGAAAAGGAAACACTTTAAACATAAATACCTAACACCAAGTGATCCAGCATTTAAAGGCTTATACTAAAATAAGTAGCAAAATATGTGAATATTAATAAAAGAAATCAGAGGGGAAAAGAGAAAGAAAAATTATACACAGTGTGTTACACACTTTAAGAGAAAGAAAAATTATACACAGTGTGTTACACACTTTGTTAAGATGTCACATGCATGAACTGCTGAAATATGCTAGAAAATCTTTGATCTTCCCGGAAAAGTTTCTTAAGATCAGTAGTTGAAAAAGCACATTGATGGTCATTTTCCCATGTGCGTTGAAGTGGAGTATATTCCAGAGTAATATGAAGAACTTCAGTATTATCTAATTTACCACATAGACCTGCATAAGTATTTTAAATTAAATCTTTTGTAATAGGAAGATGTCCACAGTTTCTAAAAACTTAACTGAAATGTCTAGCTGAAATTCATGATCTATTAAGAATTTATTGAAGGAATCTGTGTGTAAACTTCCTTTTTCGTGATTCATTTTGCACTTATTTTGCGAGGTAATTATATTTAACTCATGTGACTTAATTTTTATTGCTCTAATGGAAGAAAAGCACTGACAGCTAACAAGTAATTATGTTTGGCAGAGCTAAGTAACTGAGCTTTTAAAAGGAAGATTATTTAATTCCTAATAGCACTACAGTACTTTTCTAAAGGAAGAAAAAAAATAAACAAGTAATTAGGCATCTAAATTACTTCAATGAAATTAAATTGCCTTTTAGAACTGTTCACGCTTTTTAATAAGCATTTTGTTTCTTACTATAGTAATTTCCTTAATAAAACATTAATATGATTTAGTTTTTTTATTTAAAATCACCATAGTACTAAATGTTTTTCTCTCTCACTCACTTTTTTTTAAAAATAACCAACAGCATCATCATCCAATGTGCTCATCAACTCAGTATTGTATGCAGCCCATGGTGGAAAAGAAATCCCTTCTCCCAAAACCAGGGCACCATCTCTCAGCAATCCGACAATATCTGAAGGTTACCTAGACATGCAGCCTAGTTTATCGACAATCCAGCCAGCCTCTATGACGGCCAACGACATGGGTGCCATTTCCTCCACAGCTCCTGCTGTCATGCCGGCTCCGGGGCCCCCCGAAAATCACGTTTCTACTGCCAGTGCATTAAGTGTGCCTCCTACTGTTACTGCAGTAAATAATACATCTAGTGCACAGGTTTGTTACCTTGATAGTTTATTTTACCTAGTAGTAATTACTAGTAGAGTCAAAAAAGTCTTGATACCTTTCTACATTGTTTTAACATTTATGAAAAAAATTCTGTTTCATCAAATAAGCAATCAGTCTTGATCTGTTCTTTTTGCTTCCTTGTACGAAGTAAAGGAAGCATTGTAATCACGAAACATTTCAGGTATTGTAGTTCGAATAGCAGTCAAAATGGTCGAAAATAATCCATTTTGACCGCTGTCGAATGAAATTTAATGATGATTTTGCTTGACATCTGTATGTAAGGACAGAATAAAGGACTCTTTTTTTTTTTTTTTGTTTTTGTTTTTGTTTTTTCCCTCAAATGGATTACAAGATTGATTTAAAATGGATTGTGTTGATTGATTTAAAATGGATTCCGAAGAGATTTTTTCATAATGTCTGCAAGATACGTACATATATATGTGTATTGCATACCTCAAAAATGAGTAGCCTCAGAACAATGAAATTTTGTATCTATAACTGCTGTAACATGTTGTTGTGCACCTCTCTTTTTGGTTGCGGTCTTTTTGGTTTTCGGTTGCAGTTGGCCACACCAAAAGTATATAATATATATATATATATATATATACCCACTCTGTTACTTGCCTCGGCTAGCTTAGTTTTTTTTATTCGTATATGTTGGTAAATCGTGCATTTTTTGCTTTAAAAATGATTGAATTACATTATTCTTATCTTCTAGTTAATTGGTGCCTTTAGTTAATCTGCACACAATACTTGTAGAATTATCAACAATTTAAAAGTTGTTTAAGTGCAGCTAAGCCTAATTTGTGTTTACCATAGCCATCTTATCTGTTTACATTTGAAACATAGCAGAATAGTGAATTAAGTCTGTGTTTCTGCACCTTGAATGCTTTTTTTGCCAAGTGGGACCAAATATACACTGGTGTGCAAAAATTAAGGACGAAGTCGAAAAATTAGCATATCAGCTGAACGAAGAGGCAGAGCGGACAGAAAGATTAATCAGGAGATTAAGTAAGGTGATGTACGGTAGCATATGCGCAGATATGCAGGTAGACATTATGGGGGAGTGCCTGAGTAGTATAAAGCATGTTGTCGGTGTAAGATCAGTATTTCTGGCAAAGAGATTGCACGCCGTATAGCAGTTAAAATCACACCGAGTTGCTGCCTCAGCGAGAAATGGCGAATAATCAATCTGTTAGACGACATCTGGATGCTTTTACCCGAGGTCGAATCATTGGGAAGTTGGAGGAAGGCCGCAGTGTGACAAGTGTGGCTGCAGAGTTCGGAATTGCTCACAGCATCGTTTCACGACTTTGGAGACAATTTCAAACTACAGGAACAGCTATCCGGGGGTTTAGTAGTGGTCGTCCACGAGGAACCACACCCGCAGATGACCGGTATATTGCCTTACAGGCCAGAAGAAACAGGCGGCAGACAGCGGGAGAAATCGCTTGACACACGACACAGGCGACTGGACGACCGATATCGCGTTTTACCGTGGCCAGAAGACTGCACGGTGGTGGTCTGTTTGCACGACGCCCTGTACGGTGTGTACCTCTAACGCCTGCCCATCGGAGAAGGCGTTCTCTGTGGTGCCGGGAACACCGGAATTGGAGAGACAATGAATGGGGACGAGTACTCTTTACAGATGAGAGCAGATTCAGTCTGAGTAGCGATTCTCATCGCATACTCATCTGGAGAGAGCGGGGAAGCCGCAATCATCCCTCGAACATCATTGAAAGGGACAGGTATGGAGGTGGTGGTGTTCTCGTTTGGGGAGGCATCATGCTTGGTAGTCGTACAGACCTTCACATCTTCGACGCAGGTTCAGTCAACGGGACCCGTTATTGTAACGAGATTCTTCTTCCATGTGTGCGTCTTTTTAGAGGCGCTATGGGTCCGCAGTTCCTTTTCATGGACGACAATGCACCATGTCATCGCACAGTAGCTGCCGAACAGCTCTTAGAGAGTGAGGATATTGAACGTATGGATTGGCCGGCACGATCTCTGGATCTCAATCCCATCGAGCATGTATGGGATTTTCTAGGCAGACGCTTGGCAGCTCGTACCTTACCACCTGTAACGATTCTGGAGTTTCGATTGGCGCTGCAAGACGAATGGGCAGTAATGCCTCAACAACTCATTGACACCCTCATTCTCAGTTTGGGCAGACGCTGTGAAACTTGCCTAGCAGTCAGGGGAGATCATATCCCGTATTAAAGCCCGGATGTTTCTTGCTGGACACCCATCACAGGGATGTTTCGGCCTTCAGTCGCATTGCGCTCCATGCTACTTTTTCAATAGGAGCTTCTTTTTATCCCTCTGATTTCTCTTTTAGTAAGTGTTGCTTACATTACTCATCTCCTTACGTATTGGGGATCTTACGGTATTAAATGTGTTGATTTGGAAAGCTTTTGTGCAAAGTTATATTGAAAACCGTCTCGTCCTTAATTTTTGCACACCAGTGTAAACTTTCAGTTTTGTGCATGGAAAATCTGCATTGTTTCCTGCTGGCCGAATTGCTTGTTTTTGCATAAAAACTCTAATTTTAATTGTAAAATTGTTTAGTTGTTTTAACTGAGTTTTAATGTTTTATTTTGAGGTTTTATGCATTTTTCCCATACCACAAGGTGAGAACTAAATTAATTGAACAAGAAATCTATATGTAATGATATTCGAGAAATTAAATGAAATGCAGCAATATAAGCCTGTAATTTAATAATCTGTACAAGGAAGTCATGTGGTGTCCTCATTAGATTTTTTCATACTGTGAAGGGGAAGAAAAAAGTGAACTTGATTATAATTGTCCAGTCTAGTTTTCATTTATGTTTTTCTGCAATGAAAATACCACCACAGGTATGACAGATACTTTGAAAAGTTATATCCCCCCAGACTTCTAGTATGGGATTAATTTCAGTATTTGGAGATCTTTTTGTGTGTGTGTTATTTGTAAGAATTTTTTCAGTGGTGAGCTTTGGGCCAGGTGAAAGCAAGTTGGATAATTATTATAGTGGTAAAATTGCTGAGTATTCAAGATGGCTGATCTCTTCCCGAAACAGTTAAAGCAGTTGCCTGGAAGCTAAGGTAAGATTGCTGAAGATAACTGCTTTTCAAGATCAATCTTTCTGTTTAAATTTGCTGATTACAATTTGACAGCTGGATTTCTCAGGTTAGAGACTGTAGTTACTACACATAACCTATATTACAGCAAACTGTGCAGCAGCTTTACCTGAGGAAAGTTTTTATTCCAAAAAGCTAGTACAGTCAAAAGTCTTTAATCCGGAATCGTCAGGACTTCGGCAATTCCGGATATAGATCATCAATTTAAATCTGTTAAGATGGCATGCAGAAATTATAAAATTAAAAATATGAAACTGTAATTTACGAAATAAAGAGCAATTATGATCTAAAGGGTATCAAAATTTACCAAAAAAAAGCTTAATATTTATTTGTTTACTTTATTAAACATTTCTTTCAATGTGCATATGCGTAAGGCATATATTACGCATAGTTGAAATTAGAAAATTGCAATCAGAAAACTGTTTGATGTGTATTTGTGATATATATAATGACGAGGAATTTGATTTAAATCGTATCAAAGACGGAGTACATCGAAATGAAAATACTACATTTAGTAAGGAAGTTATAAGCCAAATAAAATAAAAACTTCAGCCCTGAAGATAAGGATAAGTGCTGACAGATCAACTTCCAGTTCATTGCGCTCCGCACGATGTCCCCCTCCCCCTGCAGAGCAGCATGAAATTGATAAACAGATTTCGGAATACAATCTTCGGATTCGGTTAGAGAAACGAAAGATATGCCTTTCCATTTTTTGCAGCAATTCCACTTTTTGTTTGATGGACATCGAAACATGCTTTCGCTTTGTAGATAGACCCTTTGGCAGCTCCAGAATCGGAAATTCTATTTGACATAATCAAAAATTCAAGCTTACTTTTATAATATTGCTCTAACAGTCTGCAAAAAATAATAAGCTGGATCCAATTCGAAGATTAAGGACAACGCAATCTGCAACATTCACTGAAATAGATAATTAAATAATTTTGGCTTAGCTTATACCGTCCGTTATATATTAAACACGCATGCGTAAACATATTATGCGTATGTGCACACGCATATGTGCATGTGTAAAGGTGTTACGTGCATGCGTGAACGCATTATGCAATGACGCATGCGCAGAAAGTTTGTAGCTTTGAGGTCCGGATTGACGACTTTTGACTGTAGTGTATATTCACTGACTTTACAATAGTGACAATGACTGACTTCACAAAAGCCTCCCTAATTGTCTGTAAAACTGAAATCTGTAGTAATCGACCTGTGTTCTGTTATAGCATGTCAAGGTCCTGTTTAACATCTGGTTCTAATTGTATTTTCATATGGAGTAAGCCAGGAGCACAAAATATTCGTGCTAACATTAAAAAATGTGATCATATGCTGTTACAGATGTGGATGGTATGAAAATGAATAATAATAATAAATTACTACCTTTAGGAGATTTGTTTAGGATCAATTATTGATAAATGCAATCATTGTTGGTGAGGAAACTATTAATATCTTCAACAGAGGCTTTTGTATGCACAGAGTTATTAAAATAAAAACTTATAAGGCCTTTTTAGAAGTACTTTGGGTAAAATATTAATTTACAGTGAAAATATGCATCCATATCATTTAAACTTGGTTGACAATTTTAGTAAAACTGAAGGTACCAAATGAATCAACTGACCAGTTAAAAGTGATATGAATATCGTAGAAAATTTTAAGAGCAATTCTTAAGATCTCACTTTTGGAGAGGATATGGTTAGAAATATGGTATGTACTTAACCTAATTCAAGTCCTTACTGAGAACATAAATTTGGGTTTTAAGATATTTACATGAGTTAGAAGAAATAATATTTCCTATTGCTATCAAACATCTGTATTTATTTTCAAAATATTATTTTTAAAAAAATTCTACATTTTATTTTAATTTT